TGACCCACAGGATATGGCTGAAGTGACAGTGTCCAGGCTCAGGCCTAAAGTGACCGGTACCTTCCACTTCCTGTCTCTTGAGGCCCCAAGCTTCCATGTGAAAAGTTCTACCAGCCTAAGGCTGCCACGCTGTGAGGAAGCCCGAGCTGGTCCATGTAGAGATGCCCCATAGAGAGATGCTGACCATTCCCGACCGCTCCAGCCTCCAGCCATCTAAGTCATCTAAGCTGGGGCCCCAGACACTGAGAAGCAGAGACACGCCATCTCTACTTGATCCTGTGTGTCCAAATTCCTGTTAGAAAGAGTAGTGAGATATAATGATAATGAATTGTTGTTCTAAGCCACTGAGTTTTGGGGTACATTGTTACCATAGCCATAGATAACCAGGACAGTCTCTCATCTAATAGCTTCTTGAGAAAGGATACCAGAGAGTTAACTTTTTGAGATTTTTGAGATCTTCATGTCTGAAAATATTTACTATCAAAATCGGCTGAATATTTGTACAGGTGTAGAATTCTAGGCTGGAAGTAAAATTTCCCCCAGAATTTTAAAGACATTATGCCATTGCTTTCAAGTATCCAACATTGTTATTAATGAATCTGATCGCTTCTGCACCCTGGCATTTTAATATATAAATATATGACTTGTTTTTCTTCCTCCCTCCCAGAAGTTTCTAGGACTTTCTTTTTAGCACTGGTTTTATGGAATTTCACCATGTTGTGGCTTGATGTGGGACTCTTTTTCTTTCATTTCTTTCATTATGGAGGGCATACGATGGGCTCTTTGGAAACTCATGTTCTTCAACTATTTGCACTGCTCTCTTATCTGGACTCCTTTTGTTCACATGTTGGACCTCCTGGGCTTGTCTTCTAGTTTCCTAATCTTTTTCATCTCTTTACCTTTTCATTCTAATTCCTGGGAGATTTTCTCAACTTTATCTTCCAACTGTTGTTGAGTGATTTTAAATATCTACTATTGTATTTTTAATTTTCAAAAGTTCTTTGAGTTCTTTATTCCTTTTTTATAGCATCTGTTCTTGTTTTCTGGTTGCAAAGTCTCTTATTTCTTGGGAATAGTTGATGGTAATTTTTGAGATGTTTCCTTCTATGCTTTGTCTCTATTTCCTTTGAGTTCCTTTTTCTTTTCCTGTTTGTACTTTTGACCTCTGGCTTTCATGTCGGAGACTTTTGTTAAATGTCTAGTCAGTCTTGGGTGTTTGTTCAAAATAGGAGTGAAGTGAGTAATATGAGCAAAATGCTGATTGCAATCAGGCAGGGTCCTTGGCCACAGGCTTTCTTGATCAGAGAGAACCAACCTTTCAGTGGCAGACCAGTATTAGTGTTTTGTTTCGGTCAGGGTTAATTTCTCCAGAGATGAATCTTTTAGTCCCTGAGGTATGGGTGCGTGGAGAATGAATGACAGGTCATAAGCCCAGGTGCCTGAAAGGATGGTGAGCAGGGATCTCCATGTATGACTTTAGGCTCATTAGAAAATGATGCTCCTCTTATGCGTGAAATCTAAAAAAGCTGTGAACTCATAAAAACAGAGTGGAATCGTGATTACCAGGGGCTGCGTGGTAGGAAGAATAAGACAGATGTTGTTTAAAGGTACAAACTTGCAACCAGTAGATAAAAAAGGCCTGGAGAGCCAAGGCATAGTATAATGAGTATAGAAAATAATATTGTATTATAAACATCAAACTTGCTAAAGACAAGGCCTTTTTTTTTTTTTTTGTGGTACGCGGGCCTCTCACTGTTGTGGCCTCTCCCGTTGCAGAGCACAGGCTCCAGATGCGCAGGCTCAGCGGCCATGGCTCACGGGCCCAGCCGCTCCGCGGCATGTGGGATCTTCCCGGACTGGGGCACGAACCCCTGTCCCCTGCATCGGCAGGCGGACTCTCAACCACTGTGCCCCCAGGGAAGCCCCTAATCTATACAATTTTTGAATCACTATGTTGTATACCTGAAGCTAATACAATATTGTAAACCAGCTATACGTCAATTTAAAAAAATGATTGGGAAATAAATAAATAATAAAAAATTAGGGCAAAGGGAAAAAAACCATAAGGAAGATACAAACCTAATATAGTAGTACTACTTAAGGCAAAATGTTTGGGTAATTACAGGTCAATGAAAACAGCAATAATAACACCTAACATTTATCGGCTGGCCAAAATGTTTGTTCGGGTTTTTCTGTAACATCTTACGGAAAAACCCAAGCGAACCTGTTGGCCAACTCAATAGTAATTTCTTTTCTTCCTTGTTTGCCACAGTGTTAATGAAGTAAGCGTTTGTCTTCACATGATGCCTCTTGCCAGAACTTCCTAGGTTTTTATTTGGGCACGTGACCCTCTGCCGTAGGTTGTATAAGTCAGAGAAAGTAGACCAGTCACCTCATCGACCCCCCACCTTGACAAAGGGATTGACCCGTAACCCTGAGGAAGCCAGTGCTACTCCAGTTGGTACAGGAATAGTCCCGTGATCCAGTTTTGGCCAATGAAATAGGAAGGGAGGTTTCTGAGGGCTCCTGGGAAAGATGCTTCCTTGCTTATCTGAGAGATCTGCCGGATGGGCATGCCCTCTCATTTTGGGTGCGGTGGAGCCTGGATGTGAGGCCAGCTAGGCATGCAGGCATTTTGTCACCAAGAGGGAAGCCAGCCCTAGGAGGAAGTGACTCACAGAGGCAGGGCATGACTGAGCCAGGGAGTCAGACGTGCCCTGAAACCTGCCCCTTGTCCTGTCTCTGCAGTTCCGTGAAGTAGCAAGTTCCCTTTACTGTTCAGGCCACTGTGAGTTGGGTTTCAACCAAACTTTTGGTTTTCAACCAGAAGCACCCCAATTAGTTTGCTTGTTTTTCACTTTTGTTTGACTTGCGGAGACAGAAACACAGCTCACCTTGGCTTCAGGCACAGAGGCTGGAGTTCAGGTTGCTAGGGTGACACAGCCAGGAGTCCTCAGCTCTGCTCTCCTCACGTCCAGACAGACCCTGGCCACCTCGTGGCCTTTGGAGCTTTGGGTGCATGTCTCACAGCTCAGCAGCCAGGCTGGAAGAGAGAGCCTCTTCTTGGCTTCCAGCCTGGCCCAGGTCACCCTCATTGGCCCAGCGGGCCATTGCCATTGCCTTTCCTTGAAGTGGCCCCTGGGGCGGGTCACCAACCAGAACCACGTGGGTGGGGGAGGGAGTGGGAGGCTGCTAAAGACAAAAGGAGGTGATGTGGCCCAGAAAAGGGGAAATGCGTGCCAGACTGACAGAGCACTGGGCACCCATCATTGGCTTCTTCCTGAGTCTCTGGGTCACTGCAGTGAGTGAAGGATGTCTCAGAAGAGCACCTGGGAAGCCAGGTCAGGCATTTCTGCCTTGAATGGGGGCACTTAAACACTGCCTGTTAAGTTCCCTCCTCCTTCCTCTGGCCGTGACTTTGATCTGAAGCTGGGCAATAGCTTGGCTTTTGGGGCAGAGACTTGCTGATTGATTCCAAAAGGAAATGTTATGCATGCAAGGGACCAATGTCTGTGTAGAGAGACTAGGGGTCATAGGTGCTCATTCCTCTCGGCCTCGGGAGGGACTGCAGTTTCGGAGGAAATCAGGCCTACTTTCTAACGGAAGCCATTCTGACTGTGTCATGAGATCTCAGAGCCGGCGCTGTTTTTGGGGTGCCGTCCCGCAGTCCTCTGCCCCCTTCTCTCCCTGCCAGGGAGCTGAGGTTCTCCTGTGACCTCCTGTTAGTGTGGATATGTTTTTATTTACTGCGCTGCACCGAGCTTCGATAGCATCTCTTTTCTTTCTAAGTTCCCTTCTGTCCATCATCTACCTTACAATCACATCCAGGCTACAACATTTATACCCTGTTCTCCCTCCGTGAATAAGGCTTTGCAGGTGGGTTGATTCCAGAAGCTGAGATTGGTTCTTACGTGGTTATGACCGTGACAAAAAGTGACTGCAGGGCCCCTGATTACTTGCCCTTCTCCTCACAGGGACGGCTCTATGGACCATGTGCAAACCTCTGTTTCTTTTGACACTATTTATGGACTTATTGTGGGAACTCAGACATTACGGGAGACCCCTCAGACCCCCAGGGTCTCTCCCCATGCCCTCCTGGCAGCCGTGGGAGAGTGTTGACCTCCTCTTTGCCCTTCAGGGACCCCAGGCCTTGAAGTCCAGGTCATCATGGGCCCCTGAGGGAATCTCCATGGCCATCTTCCCATTTACCTATAAATGGACAGGTAGCTGTCAAGGTCTAGGAGGGAACCCTGGCTCCTGTGCATGTTAGACTCACCGAGGGTGCCTCCTACACACCCAGTGAAAGGATTTGTTGTTGAAGATGATGGATTTGCCCTCTAGATCTTCTCCTGCAGAATTTGTGTACCATAATGTTCCACCAAAGACATCCTTTGGGTTACCAAAGGTGTCACTACAATTGGAAACAAGGAGCCCCAATAAGCCAGCAGACTCCACCATCCTGTGGTCGGAGCATGGTCTGAGGAGCCAGTTAAGGCCTGGTTGTACCTGTAGTCTACAGGGCTGGGCATCCTCCAAGACCCTGAGCTGTCAGCCGCAAACCCAGTACTGCTTTCTTAGCTAAGCCCTCAGGTGCCGCTCCCATCTCAGCACCTCCCACATGCACCCTAAAAAGTAACCCCCCTCGTTTGAAGCTTCAAGTCTCATTTCTAAACCAGTCACTGTCCTGGAGGTTGAGATGCCCGTGGTGACCTGGACCAATCGGGAGCTGCCCCCTCGGGCTGAGCTGATGCAGCATCCCCAGGACCCTGGGCAGGGGAGGAAGAGCCCCAGCAGTAGCTGCCACACGTGCCTTTACCTAGTGAGGGACATGCCTGAGTTTGGTGACAGTTCGTGGTTTTGTCTCGGGAGACTGTATCGGCTCCTATCGCCCGCTCACTTGGCCCCATTTCCCCCTTTGCTTCCTTCCTGCTCACCCTTCCACCCCTTTCCTCCTGCCCTCCCCGCCCCACTGCCTCCCTCCCTCCCTCCTGGGACTTCCTCTCTCTGCCCACAGACACCCCACTCCTCAGCGGATCCTGCAGAGCGACTAGGTTCTCACTGCTCTGCCTTCTCTCGGGTCCTCCTGACGGAGCCAGACAGAGGTAATTGCTAGACCAAAGGCTCTGCATTCCAGAAAACAACCAGGCCACCCCTGGGAGGCGGCACCCATCCAGCCACTTGAGGCCTAATGATGACATGTGCACTTTGTACGGGACCCCTCTTCCTCCTGCTCTGTCTTCCACGCTGGACTCCAAGCCCTTTGAAGGTAGGAGCAAGCCCGGCTTGTTTTGAATTCCCAGTGTTTAGCTGGTGTAGGCGCTTAATGAAAGCTCAAGGAAGGAAGGGGAGAAAAAGGATGGAGAGGGAAACTCCCTTCCCATGGTCACTCGGTCACTCAGTGGAGGCCCAGGATGCAGGGGTGGGGTCTGGAACTACCTCCTTCAGGGATTCCTGTGAGGTTTTTGTCTCTGGGGAGGGATCTTTCCTTCCCCTCTTTCCTTTTCTCTCCGTCTTCAGAGCCTTTCTTCCTGAGAACTTTGTAGACTTTGCCCATCAGCCAAGATACCTCTCGCCAGTTGAGGGAACGTCACAGCTAGAATTAAACCTCAGCGCTTAGAAACGACCCCCTTTGCATATTCTCAGGCGCCCGCTGGCTCAGGGCCTGCAGCCTTTGACAGTTACCGCAAGATGACTCAACAGTTTCTCTTTCATTCACCGTCTACTCATCCAGGTTGTGCGTGGTGTTCTCAGGGTGGTGTCAAGGTTTGGGGCATCGGAGGTCGAGTTGTGATCGCAGTGTTTGCTAGAAGGCAGATGGACCCTGTGCTCACTGCCTCTGGGGAGCCATGAATGCTTGTAGCGGGGTGCACCACACTTTTTAATGGAGTTGGAGCATTTTTGATTCTTGCTGATTTCAAAGAGAAGAGGGAGTTTATCTTGGGCTGAGCTGGACGTGTCTCCAGAAGGAAGTTACCAAAGAGACCAGGACCGAGGTGCGGGTTATTGAAGCAGAGCCCTACTGGGAAACCAGGGTTGGTTTTCAAGTTCTTGTTGGTATTTTATTCCAGAACATCTGTGCTGCCAGGAGTCACATGGTGGTCAAAAGCTTAGGTGCCAAGGATGTTCCTTGTCATGAGGGCATTCGCATTGGTATCTGAAGATGTTCTTTCCCCTAGACCAAAACTCATTTTGACTTAGAGTTAGAGAAAAACACACACCACTGCTTTTTTTTTTTAAAGTCTATATTGAATTTGTTACCGTATTGCTTCTGTCTTATGTTTTAGTTTTTTGCCACAAGGCATGTGGGATCTTAGCTCCCCGACCAGGGATCGAACCCGCACCCCTAGCATGGGAAGGCAAAGTCTTAACCACTGGATCACCAGGGAAGTCCTACACACAGCTGCTTTTTTTTTTTTAATTAATTAATTTATTTTTTAGGGTATTTATTGGAGTATAATTGCTTTACAATGGTGTGTTAGTTTCTGCTTTGTTGTCTCTTTTTAAAATGGATTTTTTATTTTGGAATAATTTTCAATTTATAGAAAAGTTGCAGAGATAACGGAGTTTTCTCATCTCCCTCTCACCAAGTTTCCCCTGTTGTTAACATCTTACAGAACCACGGTACATTTGTGAAAACGAAGGCAGCGGCATCGGTACGTTGCTATGAATTAAACTCTAGACTTTACTTAGGTTTCCTCAGTTTTCCCCGAGATGGCTTCTTTCTCTTCCAGGACCCCATCCAGGACACCACGTGTTTCATTGTCACAGCTCCTTGGCCTCCTCTGGGCTGTGACAATTCCTTAGCCTTTCCCTGTTTTTCATGACCTTGGCACTTTTGAAAAGCATCGGTCAGGTATTTTGTTGAATGACCCTCAATTCAGGTCTGTCTGATGTTTTTCTCACGTTTAGGCTGAGGTTATGGGTTCTGGGGAAGTGTATGAGGGGAGATGCCCTTCTCGTCACATATCACATCACATCACGTTATATCATATTATATCATATCATACCATCCCATTTATCCTATCACATCACATCACACCATATCATATCATATCATATCATATATCATACCATATATCCTATCTTATCCTATCCTGTCCTGTCACGTCATATCACATCATATCATTCCATGGCGTACATCCTGTCAACATGGCCCAGATTTTTTTCTTTTGCTGTAAAGTACAATGAAATACAAAACTATTAAGTGTACACTCTCAGAATTTTGGCAGAGGCATTCACCTATGTAACCCAAACCCCTATCAAAATAGAGAACATTACTATCACCCCAGAAAGGTCCCTCATGCCCTTCCCAGGCCCTGCCCTTGCCCTCCCAGAGGTAACCACTATTCTGTTTTTGTTCCTACTGTGTTTTAGTTTTGTCTGTTTTAGAATTTAATACAAATGGAATTACACAGTATGTTCACACAGCATATTTTTGGTGGTATATTAATTCAACTTAATCCCACGCAGCCATGAAAATGCATGAAACACAGCTACAATAGACACTAAGATGAATCTTATTAGCCACGTTGAGTGAGAGAAGCCAGACTGAAAAGAATACATAGTGTCTAATACCATTTCTTTAATATTTAAAAGCAGTCAAAAATAATTTATGGAGTTACAAGTCAGGACGGCAGCTAGTATGGGCAGGAGGGAGGGAGTGATTGAGAGGGAGACCAAGGGGAGAGTCTGGTCATGTAATGTGATTTCCCTGCACTTGGGTAGAGATTATACAGGTGTGTGTAACCTTCGTGATAATTCATTAGGCTATACTTTTATGATTCTTGCTTTGTCCTTGGTGTGTTACATATTATTAAAGTGTTTTAAAATAAGATACTAGTTCATGCCCATCAGTTGTTTGTGTGTATGACAGTGCCATGTGTACTCCTTATCTATTGATGTGTAGCAGATTACCTCAAAACTTAACAACCGGTTTCTGTGGGTCATGAGTTTCACAGCATCTTAGCTGGGCGGCTCTAGGTCTTTCATGAGGTTGTATATAAGATGTTGGTTGGGGCTTAAGTCATATAAAGGCTTGACTGGGTCTGGCAGATCCACCCCCAAGGAGCTGTACTCACATGGCTGTTGGCAGGAAGCCTCAGTGTTTCTCCCATGTGGACCTCTCCACGAAGCTGCTTGAGTGTCCTCACGTCATGGCAGCTGGCTTCCTCCAGAGCAAGTGATCCCAGAGAGCCCAGTATAATGTTTTCTAAATTAATACATACCATTTATGTGTATCAATAGTACATTCCTTTTTATTGCTAAGTAGTATTCCATTTTACGACTAGACCATAGTTTATTTTTCTGCTCTGTTAGTGATGGATGCCTTGGCTGTTTCCAGTTTGGAGCTATCATTAATAAAGCTGGTATGAACATTCTTCGTCAAGAATTTTTATGAACAGTTTGCTTTTCTTAGGTAAATACTAGGAGTGTCATTGTTAGGTCATAGAGTAGGTATATGTTTAGTGTTATGAGAAATTGACAGAACCTTTCCCCAAGGTGACTGTATTGTTTTACATTATCACAACAAAACATGAGAGTTTTAGTTGCTCCACATCCTTGTTAATATTTAGGTTTCTCATTAAAAACTTTTTTTTAGCCATTCAGGTGGGTGTGTAATGGTATCTCATTGTGATTTTAATTTGATTTTCCATGGTGACTTAATGACGTTGAGCGTTTTCTCTCATGCTTATCGGTCATTTTTATATTGGTCGTTCTTTTGTGAAGTGTCTGTTCAAATCTTTTGGAGGACATCTGTGTGTGTGTGTGTGTGTGTGTGTGTGTAGTTCACACGTATAGTTTTGTGTAACCAACCACCACGACAATCAGAATACAGAACTATTCCATCACCACAGAGAAACCTCCTGTGTTTCCCCTTTAGAGTCAGATTCTCCCCCTAACCCTAACTCCTGGCAGCCACTGATCTGTACCTCATTACTGTAATTTAGTCATGTTGAGAATGTTATAAAATTGGAATCCTATCGTATGTAACTTTTTGAGATTGGCTTTTTTCCACTCAACACAGTGCCTTGGAGATCCATCCCAGTTGTCATGTGTATCAGTGGTTCATTCCTTTTTATTGCTGAGTAGTACCCTATTGTATGGATGTACCACAGTTTAATCTATGCCCCACTCAAGGAACATTTGGGTTGTTTCTAGTTTTTGGTGATTGCAAATAAAGTTGCTATAAACATTCATGTATAAGTGTTTGTGTAAACAAAGGGTTTCATTTCTTTTGGGTAAATACCCAGGAGTGGAATTGCTGAGTTATAAACATAAGTGTGTATTTAGCTTCATAAGACATTGTCAAACTCTTCCAGAGTGCCTGTACCATTTTTAAAATATTTCCCACCAGCAGTGAATGAGGGATCCAGTTGTTCTGCACCTTCTTAACACTTGGTATTGTCAGCATTTTTGATTTTCGCCTCTCTAGTAGGTATTTATGATCCGATTTTGAAACTTAGTATCTTGTGGTTTGGTCCTAATTCCACGTGAGAAACTTCCCAGTAAGGCTTCGTCTTACTCACGCTGGATGCCCACACCCTTCAACTCTCCGAGGGAAGGTGAGATTCGTATATTTTGCTTTAGTTCTTGCTGGTAGCGTATCCTAGTTCAGAGGTTTTCAACCTTGTTCTTAGTAAAGGAACCATTTTTTCTCAAGCTAAATCCTACACAGACCACCGATAAGTCAGATGATGGTGGAGCTGCTGAGGGTAGAGCAGGGCCCTCTCTGTACCCCATACAGACACACCCCGGCAGATGTGTCTCTTAATCTCTACACTAACGCCATCCACCCAGGACCTGCCAAGTCTCTTAATTCTATAGGGCCTCTCTCTGCCATTTGAGGCACAGAGATAATAATATTTGCCAAATCTTTATATCTTACAGACCCAAGAAACCAGAAAAGAGAAATTGTATCTGTTATTATAAAATACCCCAAACCATCGTTGTTTATGATTTATACCGTATCGTTATACACATAGTATTTAAGGTGTCCCATTAAGATTGCTAAACGTGGAGGTTGATATTTAAAGACAGAAAATGCACAAACAAATATGCATGTTGCATAGGAGTTGGGAGAGCTTGAGATGTTCCTGAAACCCTGACTTTTCCATCACAGAGATGGTTACCTTTTTGCTTGAAAAGTGTTAGGGATTTAAATATTCATATTATGATAAGCAGATGTTCAAGCTTTCAGGGAGACAGTTTCTAAAACTTCTTCATCCAGCTTTAATTTCTTTGTTAAATAGGAATGAATTCCTTGGG